ACCGCTCGCGTCCGGAACCGGAAGTCTCAGTTTCTCATTTTGGATGTCGGAGGAGCGGGCCTGTGAGCGGGCCAGATATCTCAAGTTTTATGTCTTTTCTTTTTCTTTTTTTACAACAGTGGCCTAGTTCACTGTTGGTGGGAATATGGAACACAGAACTTTACTTGGTGTAATACAAGATAAAAGAATCATCTTGACAGAATCCTGCTGCAAACCAAATAGATTTCACCAACAATCCATCATTCACAAACCATAAAAGTTTCCTCCGTAATAAGAAGGCAGCAGACAAGTTTGCTGTGGAATTACATTTGTTCAGTTCCATATTAAAAAGCCCGGGAAGCTACCAAAATACGCACAGCCTTTTGCAGTAGTTCACCCAGAGGAACAACACCATTCTTCCCAAGGAAAGTAATAATAACCATGAGTAGAGACATACAGAGCATTGCACTTAAGTCACTACAAGTTAACACACACACACACATTTACGCACACAAAGAGACACAAAGAAAACATTTTATGTCCATCCTTACTACCATATGCTCATTTGGAATGTCATAGTGTGAAAGATCTCATACCTTTTGGTAGTCTTGTTGGTGGTGCATTTCTTGCCCAAGCATACAAAATATTAGATGTGTCCGTGCATGTTCCTCCATCACAGTCCCTGAAACAAACACACAGCGGGAAGTTTTTTTATTTTGGCTTGAGCATCTCTCTCATTTTAGGAACATTAAGCAGTTAACATTATTCTCCACCACAAACACTACATTCAGGCTGAGAATGCCCTTTGTAATCATGCTTCTCAATGTGTTTTTAACTCCCTCTTCTAAAATTTACACTACCTTTTGAGCCTGCTCCCTCCAGCATTTTACCAGCACTCATCTCTTTGGCAGTCAATATTTTACTTATTGCATTTACATCCATGGAACTTAAGGCGGTGTACATGGTCCCATTTTATCTTCACTATCTAAGGTAGGTTAGCCTGAGAGTTTGTATCCAGCCCAATATTATCCAGGGAGCTTTATGGAATTGGAATCTAGATCTCCTTGGCCCTAGCAGGATATTCCAACCACTATGCCATGCTAGCTTACAGGCAAGCACACAGAATCTTCACACATAGCTCTCTCTGTGTGTGCAACCTGCTGCTGTTTGATTAAGGGCTTAGGCAGCACAGTCCAATACTGGTGTTAAAAATGGAATGTAACAGCACATATCAGATATCCCCCTAAACCAGCCACTATCCTGGCTCCTGCCCAACACGCACAGACAGAGGCTCATACTTGTACATAAAGAAAAGTTATTTATTCAGGGAACTAACAGTATAGGGTCAGCAGCAGACACAGCACTCAGAAGTCACAATTCAGATGTTCAAGCAATGAAGATGCACCAACAAGTTTCCCCGCACCTCCCACCAGCTTTTAAAGACAAGGCATGGAGTGCTCAATCACAATATTCCCTTGCCTTACAGGAATACCAAGATTGCAAGCATGCACTCCATGAGTATGTGAGCTTCCACCTGTGAAGGTGGCATTTGATTCTAGGTGACAAGGCTACACTCTTCTGTTCAGTCGCTGCTGCCTCTGTTTCAGCCTCCTCCTCAGCTGATCAAAGCCCTTCCCAACCTGTATTGAGGCTCTCTGCTCTTCAGGAAGGTTGGAGGGGAGAGCTAGCAACCCTGATCCCCTTCCAAAGGGACTGATGCTGGGGTGGAAAGGGGAGATCCTTCCTTCTCCAACTCAGGTTCCCACCATTCAGTCCCGTCCTCCTCCTGAGTCCTAGTCAGCCGCCCCATGTCGAATGACAACAATGCTGAGGGCTCATGGCAGCCAGTTAAGGAAGGTTGCTCTGTTCAGAAGCTCCCATACAAATGAGCATCTACTGTGGGTGGAATAGTTTCTCGGGCAGCTGAATGTTAAACTCTGCTGCAAACATGAAATTCCCTGGCTTAGAATTTTGTCATCCTGAAATTTTGTGCCCATCCATGGGGACTCAAGAACCATTACAGTGGTTTTTGCACAGAAAATGGTCCTGGGAGCTTGTGTCTTAATTTAGATTACACCCGCAATTAATTCACCCGCAGAAGAAAAGAAACAAAGAAAAACCCTTAGAGACCCTGTATTTTGACTTGAAGACTATGCAAGATTTATTATAATATGATTTATGTTCCTATATTCAAGTATAATTCTTAATATTTTAACTAATCCCCACATGATGAAATATCTATCATTCCATGTGACATTTGCATGAATTATTCTCTTCTTCATATATACCATGGCATGATGAGCGTGGTTGAAGATCTATTTTTGATACCACAAGAATTTAGCCCTTAGAATCACAAGGTTAATTAGACTGAACATTGCTTCTTCCCACTAGAAAAAGCTTGGCATTTCCCCTTGGGCTGACCATATAGAAGATAACCTTGATTTTATCTATTTTCAGAAAGTAATAAATACATTCTTAGTTAGTGGGGGAAAGAGACTTAACTTTTTCAGCTATGTCAGTAGCTGCTTCCAATATATTTATAGTGAAGTTCTTTGGAAAGAAATTTCCAAAATGAGTTACAATGCTATGCCTCCAAATAATGAAAGTAATTAACTTCTGTTCCAGCAATTCAATTTTTAAAATAAAAAACCTATCCACATGCAACATAGGAAGCGATTTTATAGCAAGTCAAATCATTGGTTTATCAGGTTTAGTATTATCTAAACCAGTTAACCAACCAAACTGGATAATCCCCATAGGATAAACCATGTTGTCATCAGAAGTACTTTGAACCCTACATAATGCTGCCAGTCACAGTGGGCTCACTTATACCATGCCCTGTCTGCCAAGAGAGAGATAATGGTAGGATTTTCCTTTAATGAGCTTTAGTGAAAAAGGCACTGTTGCAAGCTCAAATTGATCAGTTGGGGAGTGGGGAGGAGAAGAGAATTAGAACTACCTGTACAAAAAGCTTATAACAGAGTGCTGTGCAAAGTTTCTGGTGGAGAGGTAAATCAAGATAGACTACTGGACTGACATGGGGCTGCCTTTGAAAATCATCCAGAAACTTCAATTAGTGGAAAAAGCAGCAGCAACTGTTTTAAACAGAGTGAGATTTTTTTGGGGAAGCACTTCACCCCGCTACTATTTCAGCTTCAATAGCTGCTGGTGCATTTTTGGTCCCAATCTGAAGTGTTTTCCATTGCAACATATATCACTCACCTTGGTTTTCATGTCAAAAGAAAGGAGTGATATAAAGGCAAGAAAATAAATAAATACTTCAAAGACATTGGAAGACCTATAAGCCTTAGGACCGGTGTAAAAGGGCCATTTCCTCCCATAGGTCGTGCCCTGCTACTACTTCTCCCTCAGAAGTGGCTGAAATGCAGAAGTAGAATTTTCTTTGATATAGGGTGTCTAATAGAAATCAATTCAACATTGACATTTGTATGCAATTTCCCCCATACGCATTTTTACAAATCATTTTTCTTGTGGTTTTTACTAATAGATATATTATATGCATACTTTACATTAGTATATGCATTTTTGTAATCATTATATGGCTGGAGAACTGCATTGCAAAATTCACAGATGTGTTAATTTTGAAAAATGGCTATGTTTCTCTCTCTCTCTCTCTCTCTCTCTCTCTGTGTGTGTGTGTGTGTGTGTGTGTATGAATGAGAAAGTGTGAATTAGGTAGAGTTGCATTTAAATGAGATTCAGTAATCACAGTCATTCATCAAATGTGTTTTTATTTTTTCCACATAGGTAGAATGTCTAGGAGAACTACTATAGCAGCTTTTTCACACTTTTTCTTAGGAACATTCACAAAACACTGAAAAAGAAGCAGCACATTTTGGATCTCAATTTAACAGCAACAGACCTCCACAGATAAAATGGAAGGAGAAAACCTATCTGCAGTTTCAAGGAAATGTTGAAGATGCAACTTTCCTACTGTCATTTACAATATGGAATGGAGTTATTCATTAATAAAATGCAGTTATTTCCTGGTCCCCACACTGCTCCAGTCATGTTTCGGTGAAGGAGTCACATTAGATAAATAGATCGGCTGGAAAGCTCATCTCAGAGCTACTGTCCCATGGTACAGTAGACACGGACACAGTTATGTTCACCGTAAGTCTTTCATTCAAATGCTTTGACACTTCAGTAGTGTATGAAACAGACTTTAGTCTTTAAAATCAGAGAGATTAAAGCTGTAACCCTGATTCAATTTACCTGGGAGCAAGTCTCATTGATTTCAACAGGGCTTACTACTGAATAGACATGGCTAGGATTGTGCAAGTCTCTCCTTTTGTTTAGAGCAGATGCTTTCAAACTGTGAAGCAGACCAATCTTTGTATTCTGGGACTGAACAAAACGAATCTGGGTAATTTCATAGTAGTTTCCAGAGTGCTACCAGTAGTTGCTAGCATGGCTATAAATGTCTCGTGTCCACTGGGGCACAAGAGTACACTATGTGAGAAGGGAGAACTTGGCATAACCTTGGTGTAGTAGAAAACACATGGAGTGTGAAGGCAAAAGATAGGGCAGGGAAAGAGGTGGGGTGATTGCAACTGGCAAAAACTAATAGTAATTGTGAAGCCCATGAACGTCACAGTTTTCTACTGTGAATTAACAATGCAGCCTGTTCACTCCTGCTTCACCTCCTCCTTTTCTGCAAGCAGGTAAAAAGAAACCAGGATGTCTGAATTTAGCTTGGCTTCCCATGATGTGCAAACCTGGCATCCTGGTTTGTTGCTCCCACCAAACCAGGTTCATAAGCCAGGGTTAGAAGTTAGTTTGAGAGCACAAACCAGGATGCTGGGTTTATATGCCACCATCTTAGATAACTTGCTCACAGATGTGGGCTGTGCACACAAGGATTCTTCTTACAATAAGCCAGGAATCCAAGCTTTCCATGATGTGCAAATCATACAACCTCTATGCTGCAAATAAACCTACATGGAGGAAATAAACCTGTGAAACGGACAAAGCAAAAATCAAGGCTATGCGTAAACTTACTGGTAAACTGGTAAACTTACCTATCCAAGGTAAGTTTACCAATTACAAAATAGTAGGATTGTGTAAGATTGTGTAAGAATATTTAAATGAGCACATGGACTCCAGTATAAAATTCAATTAAACATGAACTATTTTTCAGTAATAGATGAACAGAACACCTTTCCGATTTCATAACTCTTTGGGGCCAAGTTAGCATTTCTGGTTACTTGTTTTATAGACTGTCCTTTTCAAATATTAATGACCCAATCAAAATTTAAAAGGTATTTCAGAGCTGCTTCTGATTTATTAATAGCAACATCTTATTGATGAGTATGAAGACGTAGAAATTTGCAACTTGCTTCCCATTATGAAGCATGAGGTTACAGTTTTTATTGGGGGCTACAACCTTTCATCAGTTTGAACAGTAAATCAATCAACTAAGTTTTAGTGAATGAATCCATAGGGGAAAGTTTAAAATGTGTGAGGACAAATCGCAATCAACATCAGCTTTACTATGGCTGTTTTTACTCTAGTGTACTACAGTAATATGTGTGGGGGTGGAAAGGAGGATCCAAATGGGCATCTCTCCTAGCAAAGAGTGGTAGTTTTGCTTTTTTAATTATAAATTTTCATGTTTCCTTCAATTTATCAGAGAAGTCACAGATCAACTAGGCCTGCTTTGATGCATCTATTGATTAAAATCTGCAACCCAAATTGCAGAAACGACAGAATGAACGTTTTTGAAAACACCATACCCACCATGCATTCATCAAGCCTTCTACACCCCCTCCCAACCATACGTCATTCCCTTCTGACACAGGTAGCAAATGAAGCCAATGCCATGAAAACAACCCTGTGCTCCTTACCAGGAATCTTCATCTGAAGATGGATTGTTGCATCCAAAGAGCAGCATATGATGGACAGTGTCCATGCTGGCATGAGGTTTGAAGTCAACTGAAAGACAAAAGTGATACTTAAGTATGTCTTTTTCTCAGTACATTTTATGGTTCTACATTAAGTTGCAAGAGGACACTTATTTGCTCTCTTTCATTCATACAACAGCAAATGGAGATACACTGTGGGCTGCTGTGCTCATTATAACGACACAGCAGGAATAGAAATAAAAAATCGCAGCAAGGATGAAGTGCTAATATCTCAAGTTGTGTTTCAGCTCTCTCAATTTTACTTCTAAAACAGGCAAATATGCCTTATTGGCCATGATACTTTTTTAAAAAAAATTGGTTTAAGTTTTTCTTATGCTTTTGTTACACACTAATTAAGATGTACATTTTAAAGAAATCATTATTGTTTTTCGTTGCGGGTAAAATATACAACTATGATAACATACCAGAATACCCTACTCAAGTTCCTCCTCTCCAAACATTCACTGCTCCAAGAGATGGCAGTACTCATATGCAATTTTCATACAAAAGTAACTTTTCAGTAATGAGGCAAAAAGATCATTATATCAAAATAATATTTCAAAGGCAAAAAGGAAGCTAGTAAGTCTAATAATTATTCCAAATGCTAAATGGAAGTATATTGGGATTGAGGGGATTAACATCATTTTCTTTCTCTCTGTGTGTGTTTTATAATAGCAAACAAAATTTTAATGAACTTATTGATTTTAGAAACACCATGTAAGGCTCTAAGTTTGTGCGCAAGCATTTCCTTATAGGCTATGTACCAAACATTTTGATAAGAAAAAGTAATTGAAATAACATGCATATCCTTCCATTGTTTGGGGATTGTGAAGTACGCTGCCATTAATAAATGTCCAATTAAGGCCTTTTGGGGGGATCTCCACTTACATCTTTATTCTGATATAAAAAGAAATTTAGGAGATAGAGTTGTGAGGTCCTGTCCAGGGACTGTTTAATAATTTTCTGGATCTTACTAAACAATGAAGTCCAAAAATGTAGATTAATATGTACATTTGACCAATAATTAAATATAAAAGGGGAAGAAGAAATACACAGACATTTTAACAACTACTGTAAACAACATAACTCCAAGGAGTATGGTTTTTAGTTTCTACTGTAGATGAAACTCAAGTCTCACAGATGATTCTGCCACCAAAAAAAGAGAAGAAAGAAGAAGGGAGGAGTACATTTGAAGGTGGTAAACAAGAGTAGCTTTATCAATAGTTTTACTCTTCAGTGACAGAGAGCATTTTAAGTTTCTTTAACTAGGAAGCAGCAGGGCAGATTCTTGAGGTGTATCATTTTAATTCTAATGGCACAGTAGGAGCAGGACCACAGGAGATCTGGTACTTTACAATTGCACTCCCGGTTTTGCATTTTGAAGTTTAGCAGAACAAAGGAATATTCCAGGGGTGGGGGAAGAAAAGAGATGAATACATTAATAGGGTAGACTCAATTCTACAATGACAGCTGGAGTTTTACAATCCACTGAAGATGCTACAAAATCATTTTCCAATTGCTCTCACTAACTGTGATGTTTACTGACAGCACTATAAGAGCAAAAGACTTCAAAGGGTGGCAAAGAATGTTAAATATTAAAATGTATTTCATCCACAAGAGAAATTATATATTAGCATTATGTGCAAGGACAATGTTGAGCCACTCCTGTCATAAGCTCCCTCAACTTTAGATTAGTCCATTACAGGGGTACCTTTGTATTCCCATTGACTTTTAAAAGACCATCTTCCAGACAGTATAATTTGATGGAATATTTTAATGCAAGTCAGATTTTCGGGATGACTGGGGGGCTGCCAGTGGGGGTGGGGAGATAGGCAAGGGAAGTCCCACGGTCCAAGTGAAACTCTCACACACCACTGGATATCACTCTATATGTATTTATTTATCAGTGTTCTACGTATCTCCCAATGTAGTGAAATATAATGTGACTAATTCAGGGTCCTCTTCTACAGTTTGTTTTTAAAAAAACCATCCCTTCATCCCACCCACCCCCCTTAAACTACAGCCAAACCTACTCACTATTCTAGAAACCACTATGCTGGTAAAATTTGTTGAAATTTCATATGCATTTTCTAGCTACTAGGAAAGGAAGCATTGTAAAATTGTGGAAGGGTGGGGTGGAGGAGCTGGAAATTTGGTTTCATATCTGTAAGGGTTCCAAGGGGTTGCTCGAGAACAAGCAGGCAAATACCTCCCTGCTCGGCTGTGAAGCCTTGCTTTTGATGCAAATAAATTTTATCTGTCCAGAGCGCCACTCTCCCGTGGCTGGCTCATTCACTGGCAGAATCTGTGAGTGGGTGGGGCTTAAACCTTCCCCAGCAAAGTAATTTCTTGACACCCAGTCTGTCCTCCAAACCCTGCAGCTCCTCTCCACTGGAGGTGTGGTTAATCTCCCCCACAGAGGAGGAGCTGCTTTCCACGATCTTTGGGGGCTCTCTGTAATCCATCCGGCTTTTCCTCTCTCCCTCCTGAACCGATGGCAGTTCCCTGACAATATCTTACAGAATAATTGAATTGTAGAGCTGTAGAGCTGGAAGGGATCCCAAGGGTCATCTAGTCCAACCCCCTGCAGTGCAGGACCCTCTACTAAAACATCCATGACAGATGGCCATCCAACTCTGCCTAACAACTTCCAATGAAGGAGAGTCCACCACCTTCCGAGGGAGTCCATTCCACAGATGAACAGCTCTTACCATCAGAAAGTTCTGCCTGATGTTTAGATGGAATCTCCTTTCTTGCAACTAAATGCTACAATGCTTTTTTGCTTTGCCATTAAGATTGGCAAATCTTAATGTACATTAATAGTTTAGTTATTTGTACACAGGATAAAAATGGGACTCTCTATTTCTTTCTCTCTTTCTCTCTCTCAGTGGAGTAGTAAAAAAGCTTGTATACTTCCATCGATAAGGCGAATTCTTTCCAACTATTGTTCATTTATTTGAGTCCTATTTTTCTGCAAATCACACATTGCAGATCAGGCAACTTGAATCATTTTCACATGTTACAAAATTGACATATATCATTAGCCACCAAAGGCATAAATGTATAAACACTTACTAACTTAGATGGGTTTTCCTCAAAAGGTAGTATCACCAAGCAATAAAGATTTCTATTGTAACAATCCTGCAGCTATGGAGTCAAGTAAAGCAATAAAAATGCAATATATCATCAAATTATTTCCATCCACTTTTCAGATTATAATAGGGCCTATCTTGTTTGTATGAAACTGTTTGACAAATGGTGGCTTACCATCAGTCAGTAAGGGGGGGAAACCACATTTATTTACTGGTTGGCCATATGCGTGGAAAATAAGGGAAGGAGAATGACAGATAAATTTCCTGGCTGAGTGGCTTGCTGTCAGACACAATTCTTCTAAGTGTCGGTAGTATACCCTTTAGCTATCAGCAGAGTTCAATAGTAAAGAGCAGATTGTATCAAACCCTGCACAATACAGCAAATACTTCTCTTGCTTTGCTATTTGCCCATATAATCAAACATTTAAAAGACTAGATGGGAAAATATTAATTTTTACAGAAGCACAAAAGGGAGGGGAAAAACACTTATATCTCCCCGCTGCTCACCTCTATATATTTTACACATATTCATTCTCATTGTGCAGCAGAAAAACTTTGAGGGGAAAGGTCAAATACTGTATTATGCTTTTTTTAAAAAAATCCTACCAAGGAGCTTACTATTGCTAGTTAGATGGCTATCTTCCAGGCTTGGAATGGACAGTGTTACACATCTAATAAAATGGGCTCTAAGTGAAAGGCTGTACACTGGACAATCAGATGCTAGACATATCTTATTATGACCAGCAACTACATTTATTTCATCAGTAAGTATGTGAAGTTACAGCCTACCCGTAGCAACTAACAAAATGTATCTGGTTAGCAAAATGTACAGACAAAATCCAATGTTGTACAAGTAGGACTTCAGCTTGTGCAATGGGACTTCGTCAACCCTACACACTTCATAGGGCGAGCGAAGGAAAAGATAGAAAAGGAGAGCCGTGTTGAAGCAGACGTTCGTTCCAGTGGCAGGATGTGACTAAAGGTTGTTGCACACTGGATTCAAAACATGTTGGAGATATCCAATTTCAAAATTAAGTGGTTCATAGCTGTAATGGTATAAAATGTTATGGGAAAATGGTTATTTTAAGGCAAAGTTTAAGTTTCAAGAAGTTGGACAGAAAACAAGGTGCTAATTAGTGGTAATCTTATGAGATAAGTATTTGCTGAACAAATAATTTGAACTAGAAAACAAGAAGGAGAGGTATGAGGAGGTCAGGGAAATATGTTATTGAAAAATAAGTTGTGAACTGTATGTGTTTTTAATATTTTTTCTATTTTTGTTTTTGCATTTTTCTCTTTGTTTGTATAAAATTGAAAATCTTAATAAATATCTTATAAAAAAAAGAGATATCCAATTTCAATGGCACATACTGACGTTCTGGTGCATCCTTTGTGTGCTTTTATTTCAGTTTTTGCTTTGCTGGGAAATCACCTTCTCTTTAGGTAACTTTTCATGTCAATTTGTCAAGCTAATAAAGTAATACCTTCGGAGATTAACCAGAAAGTTTGATATCTTATACACCACTCAAAAGACTTCTGCATTAACATACTCAAAGCTTAATGCCTGCTTATGTGAGGAAAGTCTACTATATAACCACACTTTTATATATATGGAATGAAATAACTTTAGTCCAGCTCAGTTTACCTCTGAGGAGACATTTTTGGACAGAAGCAATCTATACATTGTTTATGATTCAACAAGCATGAAAGCATTTAAAATAGTTTCTTCTGCAGTATTTTAAAATTATATTAATAAGCAACATACATCTAACCTGATCATAAATACATTCACTGAGAAATAAAACCCATTAATTTTAACAGGCTTACTTTTTACTAAGTGTGCGTGGGATTGTAAAACTAGTCATTGTTTTTTAAAAAATGAATGCCTTAAAAAACACAGGGTTATTTGGAAGAGATTGTGCGCTGCAACACCGAAGGGCCTATTCTACTGTGACTTCTGGTTTGGACCAGGTGGCATGAAAAATATAGAGAGTCCCACTATTGTACAACCTGAAAGTTCTTACTGCCAGCATTCTCTATATATTTGCAAGTAACTATTTACTATGATATGAACATTTTGTATTTTCCTTTTCTCTCTAACTAAATTCTTCAGTAATTTTCATTTGTAATGTTCAGATAGTGCACTCCTTACAAAAGATGTTAAGAACAGTAGTTGTCCTCAAGGACCCATTTGCTTAGCCCTAACTAGATCTTAATAGGACTGTTTCCAGCCTATAAATAAGCCCAAAGAACAATACTGTACAATGTATTTCATGCCGATTTTGTCTTTATAAATAGCAGTTCACAGAAGAGTAGACATATCATAAATTAAACACAGTATATACCCTAAAGAATAATTGCTGCAGTGTTTTAATTAACAGAAACTCTAAACACACAATTGCTTAAATACTTGGATAGAATAAATTATCTTACAAGATCCAAGTAATAATAAAAAAATCAACTGGTGCAGAAGTCCCAAATTATGTGCTATGAGAGAACTGCTTCTGTGTCATGAAAATAATGATTAAAATCAGATCATTAAAGGCTCCCAGGGGCCCAAAGCAGCCACCCACAGCTGCTATTCACTATATCTCTACATAAAGTACTACTCTGGAATTCCATCCTTCCAACTGGAAATAGAATTGCTAATTCTGCCCCATATCTGCATCAAGAATGATTGGATAATATTAAATCATCCCTAACACAAGACACAGGAAAACTACCTATACTCACAAGAAATTGCCTATTATTATTATTATTATTATTATTATTAATATACCACCCTATACCCTGGGGGGTGTCTCAGGGGTTTACATGAGCCTTATGCAGGAAGGAAGGCAAAAGGAAGTAGTTTTGGATACAAGTGTTATCCCGAAATCAATTCTGCAAAGGTGGTAGCCCTAGCAAAAACTACAGCTCCAAGGAACTGCTGGGATTTGCCATCCTGATGTGTTCAGCAGCACCTTGGACAAGGACAAGATGAAGAGGCAGATCTTTCTCCTCTTATTTCACAGACAATGCACTGCATGTTGGCCAATATAGCTGAGGCTTTTAAATAAAAAGGGGAAAGTTTGGGAAGGGGATTTGAGTGTTAGACAAGGGAAGGGCTGGGAATTCTTAAATCAAAGCCAGAAAATAATTTGGGACCTTTTATAGCCTGCCTATTCCTTGCAGTGAGCTTCATGAGCCTCAAAGGTAATTTCCAGGCGCATGCCGACTACATTTTGCTGGCATCTCTTATTTTCTTTAATCCTTCAGTGCCTTACTATGGGAACTCAAACTGAACCTTTGATTTGCAAAGCATAAATTCTAAAGGCTGCCTATGACCTAAATTACGCTCTTCAGAGCCCCCAAACCAGAACACAGTAATATAATTACTAAATATCACACCAAATAAAGATGTCCCCAAATCATGTCAGCTGAAAGTAGAGATGTCATGTTCTTTGAAAATTGCACTCTCCTTACCTTAACTCAGCCTTTTCCAACCTGGTGTCCTCCAGATGTTTTGGGACTACAAAGCCTATGATCTCTACCTAATGGCCATGCTGGCTGGGGCTCATGGGAGATGTAGTCCCCAAGTTCTAGGGGGCACCAGGGTGGGCAAGGCTGCCTTAAGCCAATGGCAATACGACAGTGATACAATGATAGTGGTTTCCTAATCGCATTTTCAACACATATGGAAAAAGCCAAACCTTTATCACTCATCAGCTACCTAATACACATACACACAGTTAAAATGTGTTAAGAGCTAACTAATCTCTTTGAAAACAAGTGACGATTTTCGAGGTTCTACCCTTTCATTGTAAATTTCCATTCTACTATTTACACTTACTAGTGAAGGTAACTGTTGGCAAGCAGAATGGAATAAAAAATGAACATTACGGAGCGAACACACTAAACAGATGGTGCTTACTTCAGTGGCCTACTTACTTAAATTAAACATTGATATAGTGTTGTGGTAGAGCCTGTCATTTGCCTGTCATCTCATCCACGCCTCAACATAAAGCAAGTATATTTTGCAAACAGGTAAGATCTTACTGTACCTAGCGCTTATTGTAAGTGCAAAGAGATTTACAGCCCGTACCAGCAGGTAAATAAACAGCTTGTGCAATGGAGTGGAATTAAGTATCCAGCCACAGACAGAAAGCCAATACTTTACAAATGGGAGCGCTACAGCCCAGCTGCCAGAGGCATCTACATGAAGCTCCTTAAGTACTATTACTCACGAGTCTCTCCAGATACAGTTTGTTATCCCCACCTTAAGTGGTTCCCTCTAGTTTTGCTTCTGCATTAGACATGATGAATGTATTACAGGAATTCTGATGGGGGAAAAATTAAGTTACAGGGGAAGCAACACAAGCCTTTCACCAATTCTGTCCATGATTTTCCGACACTCAGGTGGTACTCACCTACGTAGGCTTCCTCCTCCACTGGTAAACGGACAGACATGCAAAGGTAGGTATCAGACTGGAATGACACAACAGGGTAAAAGACATTAGGCATATTTCCTCCAAAAAAAGTCAAAATTTGCTAATTTCACAAACAGTTCACCTTCCATATATGTATACATTTCTTGCAACAGGTGACCTTGAAAACAGCTAAAATAACTTTTAGAGTAGAAGTATGCCTCTATGATAAACTAATGATAAACTAACTATAACATACTTTTTACTTCTATATTAGATCATATATTAGATAATCAGTATTTCTAGAGGGCATGCATTTCTGGCTAGGATAAGAATTTACACAAAGCAAACCTACTATATTAATCAGAAAATGGCTAAAATAGGTAAGCTGGGTCCTCAATGCTCTTCTACATATAGTTCTTTGATGCCAGGAGCACATTGGTGAGCCAGCTACTGAGGAATTAATACACACACTCGACAACAGCTTCCAGGCTAAGAGACAAATGTACAGCCTGCAGTAGTCATTTTGTGCTATAGCTGTACTCTGGGGCTAATGCAATGGAACACAGGAACTGTATCCTCTAGTGGCAAGCAAATCAAGGATACTATACAGCACATTCTGATTTTATTGTGTGGGCTGCCAGGGACAGGGGGCAGCAGAAAAGTACATTAAAAGTGAGTAATTAACAAGGAAGTTCCTCGTGTAAGCATTTCCCTGGAAATGAAAGGGAGCAAGACAAAGCCAGGCTGGATTTTGCCCCAAATGCACTTCTAAGCCCTTGCTAAATCTCTCTACAGATATGCACTTGGATAATACCAGGGGGCGGGGGGAATAATCAAATCAATATTACTTCAAGGTAGAGGACATATTCCCAAGTCACACATCCTCCCCATACCATACCCTTGTTCTCATACAATATTAAACATAATTAAGTAGTTCACTCTGGGTATAGAGAATACCAAGAATGGAAATCCATAACTGTGTCTGTATGCTCCTCACTTCAATTAACATTAATGAAAGTTAATCAAGAGAATGTTTCCCTTAGAAGTAAGCATTGGAAAGTCGGCTGAGACACACATTTGTAATCGTCTTCAGCGCAAATTGGAACATGACAACCCTGTACAGACATCAGTTACTTCACAAGTCCCAGCAGTCACACAATGCCGTGAAATGCAAGATGTGTAGGGCCAGCATGACCCACGTTTTACAAGTGTCTGTGCTAATTTCGTGGCTGCAAGTTGCTACTGTTTCAAAAGCCAAAGCTTTTTAAGAGACAATGGAGCTGAAGTCCACAATTCAAATGCCTTTTTTTTAAGAAGACACAAAATAATTGAATTCCAGCCATATGTATTTGCCCTTCCAAATTTTTGCAGAAATATTAAACATGAAGCAAGACAACTGTTTGTGTAGGTCATCCTATATACAATACAAGGCATTTGGAACTGAGGAACTATATATGTGAAAGAGAATAAATCAGAGAAAATTTTCCCTTAAACCTTTGGCCCTCCAGATGTTGCTAAACTATAACTCCCTTCATCTGTGCTTGCTAAGGCTGGTGGGAGTTGTAGCTCAACAACATGTGGAGGACCAAAGGATCTCAATGCCTCCCCAAAATGAAGTTCTTATTTGTTCTGCAGCTTCCAGTTCTATATTCTGGTACTGTATTACCACAGCAAGCTTAGCTTCTACATATGTTACAACTTTGCCTCTTTCCGTTGCACCATAATGTCAAGTCCCATTCAACTCCCCATGGACTGCAAGAATTAATAAAGTTTTGAACTGGAAAATGTGCAAGAGTATTATTATTATTATTATTATTATTATTATTATTATTAGCAGCAGCAGCAGCAGCAGCAGCAGAAGTAGCAAATACACTTGCCATTTCCCCCCCAGAAATTTAACATATTAAAGAAGTTTCCTAAAATTTCTTTGCCACCAGTGACGGACAATCTGGATACAATGACAGATCATAGTTCATTGTCATGAGACCAATCACAGTGAGCTCAGGAACCACAGACCTCTCCCCCTCTAGTGAGAATTTTGAACTCCTGAGGAAGAGTCTGGAAGCTTTTATTTCTGTTTTAAGCTAACCACAGTGAAATGTTATGTCTGAACCCAGACAGTGATAAGTCTTGTGGCTGGTTGAAATAAGCCAACTTTAAACCATAGGCAGAGTAGGCAGGGATGGGATGCAACAATAGGCAGTCATTAACTGGTAAGTTCCAATCTCTTCTTTATGACTGCATTGGACGAGGCAAGAAGGAAAAACACACAAACCTTAGGCACATGCGTGTATCTATAACCCAATGTTTATCATTACATTCAAACTGGATCACTGATTAAACAAAAATACACTTATGGTGGACTTTGAGATTTGCTTAAATGACTAGCACTAAAATGAAACATATTATATATGCCCTCGAACACCTTGCTGGTCTCCACTGTGCCTCATTTCCAAAGGAAACACAAACCCTAAGTAAGCGCGAGGAAACCTGGAATCTCACACCGCTCAGAGATTGGGGCGGTGTGTAGCACTATTTCCCCCTCAAAAACAAGACATTTAATCAAAAGATTTTAAAATTTCCACTCTCTAGATCTGCAGAGGATTCCGAAGCAAGTTACAAATCCCCAAATAATGGGATAATTTCCTAATAATACAGGACACTCTAATTCTGCCGACTTCATCACTTCAAAGTAAATAATTCACACAGAGAAAGAACTTTAATGACTGTACAAGACCCATTGCTCTTTATCTTTCAAGCTGTCAGTGTTTGATAGTCATCTACACTAATGGCTATACTTCTATTAATAAACAAAAATAGACGAGCACTGAAAATGTCAATTGCTCTGCAATCTTCTGTCATTATTTCATATATTAGTCTGCAAGCAAACATATGCAAGCTCAGACATTAATGGCTTGGCAGCACTTGCAAACACACAAAGTGAACCACCTTATTCTTTAACACACTTGCCTGATGAGTTCCTAAATACTTTCCAAACACTGAAAGAAAATAATGAACTACTTAAATTGCCTTTCTCCTACTTTCCTTCCCAAGCATTCAGTGTGAAAGTGTTGTTCATTCATTTTCCCCCATACTAAATGCATTAAAACTAATAAAAAGATTAAACCTTTCCAAGTTCAAAGCTTCTGGTCTTATGGTTGCTTATGCATGTGAAAGCTGATAAATTTGCAATAATATATATATATTTTTAAAGGTCATAGTGGAGGCTTGGAGCTCTGGATTCAAACTTGCCCATGCAAAATATCATTACATTGATCTTTGGTCAATGAGAGGTTACAGGTTTGGGGACACAGAGGATTAATTTGAGCATGATTGTGGTGGCTTAGCAGAAGTAGGCAGCATTTATCCTGTACAGATTTATCCTGTCACTTAGAGGCTGCAGCCAGTCGAGTCTGCTTTTTTTCATAAGTCCTGAATAGTAAGTCACGCTTATGAACAATTTAAATGACAGCAGCCATTTTCATGTACTGCCTCCATATAAATTAAATAGTTATGAAAGGATTCATTTTCCAGTGATGCATGTTCTTCTGTTATTCACCATCCCATTTCCTTGATATCACTTTGAGTAGCTCTGTACAGAGGGTAAAAGATAGCCTCTGTATTATACATTTGAGCAAGATTCAAAATGTAAAATGCAAATGCCGAGCTTTGAACAGCAAAGATCTGAAGCACAATTAGCGATAGGAGGTTGATGCAAGAATATATTTTTTTTCCATTCTTACCAGTAAGCATTACTTAAGGCTGCCCTTGTTCTTTACGATATCACAGGCCTTTATGTAAAAAGCCCATTGTTCTAATTAGCCAACCCAGATGAAGAATTTTTCAAGGACTGATTTTTGCACATATGCCATCTGTATTCATACTACAATGAACCCTGCCAACAGTGCTTAGAATTATTCCAGATGAATGCTACATTATTTCACGCTGTAGTGCAAGTATTTTTTTGCCCACACATAGAGAGCTCTGCTATTCTCAAACAATTTACGCAAGGTAGATTCCTGGAAGTCTTTTTTTATTCCTTTAGAATAATTAACCCAACAAATGCCATCACCAAAGACAGTCTGAACATGATAGCAGGTAGGGAAAAACCTCCACGACAGGATGCTGCTTCTTTTTATTAAAAAGGGGAGTGTAAACTATGACAGCGGTGTGGTGCTGGGAATGCCTATATGCTACAAAGGCTTCCACGCACATTAATCCTAGCATGAAAGAAAGTGTTTACCATACCAAACTTTAGGACATACATGTGTTAGAAATCAAGTTATACTGATCTGTGAACAAAAGAATAGGAGAGTCACTTGGAGCATCCTATGCACAGGTGAGAGGAAAGTGTTAAAACTATTGCCTTCCCACAGATGCTTCTCAGTGGCTGTTTTTCTCCACTCCTGCAATAAGAAAGTTGATGTGGGTTTTAATCTGCTTTTAGTCTACTGCTATTTTAACTTTTCAGAAGCTGCAGTTCAAGTCACTGGCCCAGTTCAGATATCACATTCCAAAACATGGTCTGGAGGACTGAGCACAAGCTAAGGGTTTGCACCTTCTCCTTTGTCTGCTGACTTGATTTAGCAATAATTTGTTCCTAAGGGCTGGTTTGGAGGATCAGAAACATGACATTTGAACTGTGCTATTACAATCCACTCCGAGCATGTGAGCATGTTGCAAACTATTGAAGAATGAAAACACATTTATGAAAAAGCTCCCATTATTTTACTTCTCTTGTTGTGCAAGATGATCACCATGATGGGTGATATCACATGAAATTAATGGAAACTCATTGAAATGAGCTGCACATAAGCGTAAGAGTCGTTGGAATTTATTCTAAGCCTCTGAGGCTGCCACTATGGACACCCAAACAAATCAATGCCAGTAGAGCAGAACATACATCCGAACTAGAGCTAAATCACAGTCTTTCCAAGCTGCTGTTCCATGGTACAAGACTTTTTGACTTTATAGCCTAGTGGCTAGGATCCCCACCTGCTATACCATAGATACTTTCAGTTGGACAGCACATGGATTTTTCAACACCTGCAGATTCCAAGTATTTGTGTGGCTTAGTTTCCAGAAAAGGTTTTTTACAGAATATTTTTACTTGAGTCCTACTTGAAGTTTTCTTTCTCTACAGCCAAGAAACTGAAACAGATGGTTCCAATCATAAGTTCCAGGAAATGCTTCCCAATAGCTAAATCACTTGTTTCAGCTTCTATTTGTGCAAGTGCTATCTGCAACAATGAGTCATCTCATCGGCCGCAAAACATCCTATTCTTGTAATGCTTCTGAAGCTCTTAACGCTGCTACTAATTTCATGACTGGCAGTTCTATCTAAACATTATTTAATCTCTTTTTAGCAAGGACTCTGAAATCCCGTAGAGCTTTTTGCCCATCTCCATGACTAGGAAAACATATGCAAAGTAAGAGAAATTATGTACATGTAATTGCCATTGTGTATACACAATTTAGCTTTTCTAAGTGTTTTTTTTTTAAAATCATCTTCACAGTGAATTTTCATAAAAACACAAACTCTTATATAAGCCTTTCTGGGTCAGCAATTAAATGGTTATTAGGCTCCAAGACTGACTGCAGTATGTTTGCCAACATTGTAGAGGAGAGATTCAAGGATTTGGGGTAGAGCGCCTAATAAGTTTAGGGTAGAGAAGCACCTGAAACTGCATCACTGAAAGAAGAGAACTATTTAAACGGCCTGACCTGGTAAGCAAAAACACAGCCAAGTACCTTGTGGTACCTTAAAGACCAACATATTTATTATGGCATGAGCTTTACCAAAGCCTATTTCACTAGATCCCTAAAATATTATCCTCAATTGCAGACTATATATGATCAGGTGTCATTAATCTAGGGTAAGGCATCAAGGTATTTCACTAATACACATGGCAATAGGGAAAGAACAAGGGATTACTTCTAAATCTTTTGTCTTAAAAAAGAAGAAAAAACTCTAGTTCCTTATTTAGCTTACAGGGGGCCAAATCTTTGTCCTCAGTAAAATCCTGTTGTCATCTGTGTGCAATTTCCCCCAAAACTTTAAATATATTGGAGAGTAATTTTATAAAATGGTTAATCAGAGGGATTCCCAGTTGTTTGTTTCTAATGTTACTAAGACATTCACCTGTAGACTTCTAAAGAATCCTAAAAAGTTTTACCCACATAAATATTCTGGCATTTACACCAAATTGCATAAATCCCACAGACCGTTTTACAGGTGGAGAAATGTTTCAGGACGTATCTTATAGGACGTATCTTATATGACCTTTAAAGCCCTAAATGGCTTTGGCCCTGTATACCTGAAGGAGGGTCTCCAACCACATCGTCCAGCCCAGACTCTTGAGATCTCACTCCGAGGGCCTTCTGGTGGTTTCCTCATTGCAAGAGATGAAGTTACAGAGAACCAGGCGGAGGGCCTTTTCGGTAGTAGCACCTGCCCTGTGGAATGCCCTCGCAACAGATGTCAAACAAATAAAAAGCTATGTGATTTTTAAAAGACATCTGAAGGCAGCCCTGTACAGGAACGTTTTAAGCACCATAGGAGATACTGGCAAGTGCACAGACACCCATGGTAACTGGTTTAGCCACTCCAGCTTTAGACTGTTCTACAAAGAACAAAAGGAAAAATTCTGCACAACTAATTTAGTTTATGCAACTAAAATCGTTTCAGATCTACCTTTAAAAGATCAACTTATTTTAATCTGATTGCCTCTAGCTAGTTTAGGCCAGTTCCCTGACTAGACTTCTAGAACATTCTTAGGTTGTTCTACACTTGTGTAAAACCTAAGGATAGGATACCACAAAAACGAATCTGCATGAAGTTGACATTGCTCCAATTCTAACAAGTCTTCACCGGAGAATTCATATTAATATTCCCTCAGAACAGTCACTGGTTCTTTACAGATTCTGTTAGTGAGAATCACAGGAAAGCATTTATTCCACAGGGGCCTAGTATATGGTCATCTGAGAAGCCATCAAGCATTCTAAGCAACAGCGAGAACAAGCAGGACAATCCAGCTCTCCATGCACTCTTAACTCAGGGTCATTCTGAAGTCATCACAAGACAGATGTACCGATTGTAAATCTCCACCTGTTAATAAAGTGACATGACTACCTTTGTTCCTATTACTACAAGCAAAGCTATAAGCTGATCTACATACGGACTTCTGTTCTCACCTGCTTAGGAGTTACCCCCGGCATGCGAATGTCCAATGCAAAATCTGATAAACTTAGAGGAACCAGCTGCCTGTTGCTGCCCAGGCATTCATTAGAATGTGACTTGGCAGAATCTTTATACCTAAAATTAAGAAGAAATATTAAATATGTACCTTTTATTTAAATGCATTTCACAACTTGTATAACTCATACAGGTGCTCCAATAACTTTCGCTGCAGCTAGAATAATTTGAGAAATCCATGTGTGGATTACATAATACAGTTTGAAATATTAAGAACCGGCAAAATATTAACAATCATTTCATACACCAGGTCAAATGGTGGCTAACATGTCCCAAGTTTACCATGTACTGATAGGAAGGAAAGTTGTATTGATGAAACAAGTTCTTTGATATGTTTCAGCCAGCTGAGCATCCAAACTAACATGCCAATTCACACATGTATCCAAGGAAGTCTGCAGGGCTGCCCCCAATTTACAACAAAAAAGCCCATGCAGATCTCTTTACAAGGAGACTACCAAGAAGTCACATCATGGATAACACTTCATGATTGCTTCAGTTAGTTGTAACATGCAAACTATGGAATGAATTAATAGATGGGGAAATCCTCAATATGCAAATATACAGCAGAACTCCTAATGCATAGCTGAATAAGCCTGGGGGAAGAACTTCCTGCATTTCTCTTCTTGAACTGTGATTGAAAACAATTGTCTAATCACATGTATTTGCATCTTTTGTATGGATACCAAAGAAGTCACGGAAAATTTTGTTCCCTATTATTTGTATAGGAAGAGAATCCAGAAAAAAACCCCTATAAAATATAGTGGGGGAACCCTAGACATGCTTCCTAGTTTCAGGACAGCTAGATATAAGCAGCCTTTGATGCAATGTGAATACTAAATATATCCATGGATAAATATTTGATGTGGCAATTACGGGGACTATGCTGTACATACAACCATATTGTCTTGTGAGCAAATAAAGCAGACTTCCGCTTAAGAAGGTATCCATAAATGCAAGGAGACATCTTCCAGAAGGCTAATCAAACAACTGATAAGTTACCTGATGCACTTTAAAAAGAGATTTCAAAGGACTAATGGGAAGGACATTGTATATAAAAAAGTTACTTACTTACTACAGAGCCTGTCAAGCTCACATTGAATTTAGATAAAAAAGTTATTGCAAAACAGTATAAGAACGATGATGCAACGCACTGAATATTTCAGTATTAACCAAAACCAATTATAATCACATTTTAAAAAATAAAAAAATAAGCCAGTTATATTTTGAGAATGTTTTTGTTTACTTTGCTGGAAGCTTCACTTTTAAACCCACAACACAAATCAAGGAAAAGCAGACGGCAACACTAAGCAGCGCACACTGATAAACAACCCACCTCTTAAAGACAGAAAGTGGGCTTCTGAAAGCCAAACAGCTGTTTTGAAAAATAAGGAACAATATTAGCAGGTTGTTAACGAGGCCAGCCATGTTCACCCTGCTGTTCCTGACCCGATTAAGGAAGCAGGGAAAGGGCAGTGCAGCTCTGTCGGCTGTGATCCTGACAATTAGGCAGCAGCACTGCTATCAGTTTGCTACTTCATTATGATGTTCTCCACAGGCATCCTACAGCTTTTGACAGACCATCTGTCCTGGATGGTGGTGTGCTCTAAATCAGTAAGGTGAGATGATACTGTGCTTTCTTCATTGGAAGCAGGGGGGGGGGAAGTAGGAAAGGGAAGAGGGCAGGGGAGAGAGTCTTTCCTTTGCTATGTCCAGTGACAGAGCAGAAGCAGAATTCACAGCCGTGGTGCTTTATTCCAGCCTACTGTAAAATCTCCATTTTGGAAAAAAGTCAATCCATTCCACAGTGCAAGAGACTCCAAGTGGCACTGCAGAAACCCATGTCGCTTGTCATTCAGGACCTGCAAAAATAGAAACAGATAATGGGTGACTAACACATTACAGCATTAGTTCTCAGCAAATACTTGCTAAAGCTTTTTCGCACATTAGGAGTTTCACAAGCTCTAGCTCAACTCAGAAAAGGTATTGTAAACTTTGTTGACCCTCTCCCCTCCGCCGTCCTCACAACTCCATGCAACAATTCTCACAAGTATGGTACATATTCTTTGTAACATGAACTGTGAATGCTAGAGGTGATGTTATCAAAAGTAGTTTATCAAACTCCCTAATGCCTTCAAGTGACAGGACTTAGAAAGCTTAAGTGCATTTAGCCATTACCTAGCTTTTCTTCCTCTACTTCAGAGAAGGCAGTATTCAGTGCTGAGTATCATACACAATATTCTTTTACCAAGAATTAAGTAAAGTCCACTTTTTCCATAAAGTTTAGAGCAAGTGCAAAGTTTGCTAGCAGAAAATTCAAATGTCTGTGTGTATATGAAACACAGTGTCTGACCTTCCAGCTATAGAACAAACAACATATAAATAAATGTGAATATTAAATAAATAAGTAGTTCAAATTTCAATGAACTAGAACAGTGTTCCTGGACCCACCAATGCACCATGGGACACTTTCAGGGGGCCTCAATACCACAGTCTGCCCAGGGTTTCCCACTTGCCAGTCCCATCCCCTAGCTATGTCATATAGCCTTTTGGTTGGACCACTGCCAGCACCAGCAACTCTTACATGCTGTGAAGTCATGGCCAGGAGACAGAGAAGTTCAGTAGAAGAAGGAAGGTCTCACGCCTCTGAGGTATATTCTGCCTGAAGTATGGTAGGCTATCGCAATGCCTCCAGAGCAAATATTAATATTTAGCTTGAAAAAAGTCGAGCTATGAAACACCTTGCCCCAAGGAACATGCTGAGCCAATAATTTAGCAATTTCCAGAGGTGGATTTGATCTCAATAGAAAATGATGTCAGTAATTGCCAATGGGTTATGCCAAACTCTGCCTCTACCTGCCACCATTTTGTGGTCCAAGAAATGTTCAAGTTTTTTAAGACTGTGATGAATAGCATCATAGTTTTACATGAAACATTTGATAATTATATGCCTGCTGATCAGAATCACAGGACTATTTGTCTTGTAAGCTAATACTGCGAAAATGGAAAAGTGAACATGGAGAATGTGTGGGTGATTAAGATGATATCCTAAATTTAAAAGTAACATATTGACAAACATAAAATGCAGAAGTGTTAAAAAAACACACCCAGATCTCAGCAAGGTCAAGTTTCATCAAGAGATTTCTGTTTATTATTTATGAATTGCCTCAAGTATTTTGGGGCACTATGCTGAACAACTAAGAGAAAGCACTGTTTAGAGAGAGCTTTCAGTCTAGAAATGAAAACTGAGGAACAATAGAATAAAATGGGAACAAGTGAGGATAAAGGATACAACAACAAGATTACACGGTTGCTTAGGTTCATTATGTGTGCATCTTGATACGGCAGCTTTGCTTTGGGTTAGAATAGATGCTCCACAGGAAGACAGCAAATAAGTAGGGGAGACAGAAAAAAAGGTCAAGTAGAAAGGCTGGGGAAATGTTTTGACCTATTGGAAGTCAACCTCACTTTTATAGCGGCTGCACATTTCCTTTCCATCGTCAAAGTTTAGATTGGACCAATTTGCAATTTATTCCTACTTTGCAGAATTGTGTTTTTCCACATCTTAAGCTGTTGGTTGATAGATTGATCAAAAAAACTAAACATTTGCTGCAGATGAGTGGAGGAGCAGGCGAGGTAAAACACTACAGATTTGATTGGACTGACTCAACGAGTGGCTTTAGATGTATCTTCTATGGGAGATTTTTTTATATGTCATCCCTCTTATTTCCTTAGATTATAAACAATTGACAGAAAAACAGCCTATGTGCCCAACAGAAAATTCACAAACACAGTGCACAAACAGATTGCATAGAACTCCTGTGTGCTTCCTATTCTACCTATTTAAACATTTGAAGCCCATCAATATTTTGTTGAACCTGGCATGAAGATAGCTTAAAACAGGAGGATGATGGTTAGTGAAGCATGTATCCCCTGTGTCATGGGACAGAATTTGCTTAGGTAAGCTTGTAAAACCATATGTGACTCTTCTAGAAAAGGGGAATTTGTGTGACTGTCTTAATTGTAGGCAATAGGTGAACTGCTTGGACTTTCGTTTGGTTGAAAAATACATACTTTGTCTTAAAGTGAGGGAATTGACTTGTAGATTGTGTCAACATGCACACATACTGAAAATGAGAATTTTATTTGAGGATTAAGCACTCCAGCAACACCCAAAGGCATGTAGAACATTAAGACAATGGAATATGAGTGGCACATCATGTTGGGATCCAATTATACAGGACACTAGAGGGTACCCCACCAAAATTCCACCTTGCCCAAATCTTGCAGGATAAGGATACCCATACGACCCTGAAAGTGGCTAGGTTCCTGGTCGCTGTCCTTACCCAAAAGTGACGCCAAGGAGCACTACAAGCTAATTAAGGCGTAGTATGCCATTCCATCTTATAGTATTTATTGTTATAGTGGTGTTTTAGCGGCTGTTTTCCCCACGTGCACAAGCTGTTTATTTATGTGTTGTTTTTATCTGTATGGGCCTATGGCCGTAATAAATATTTTCTTTCATCATGCCAATTCCAATTATAACAATAGTCTCAGCATACAGGACATAAGTACAGTATCAGTTTACGACTACAGATTTCATTCTGTGCTTCTGGACCAAGTCAACAAATGATTTAACAAACATCCAATGTTCCAATTTAAACTCCGTTTCTGGCACCTGAACATGCCAGCATCCAACACTGAATAAGCTAAACCAGAAAGCCTTCATTTATTTACTGTGAAGAATTTCAGTACAGTGGTACCTCGGGTTACAGATGCTTCAGGTTACAGACTCCGCTAACCCAGAAATAGTACCTTGAGTTAAGAACTTTGCTTCAGGATGAGAACAGAAATCGTGCGGCGGCAGCAGGAGGCCCATTAGCTAAAGTGGTACCTCAGGTTAAGAACGGTTTCAGGTTAAGAATGGATCTCTGGAACAAATTAAGTTCTTAACCCGAGGTACCACTGTATAGACACATCCCCACCACTTACAATAATTAAGTGACTTTCCCAATTGATTACCTTGACAAAAATATGGATATACCACGAGAGGTTAACATAGGAGTCCCATCTGTTTTTTATTCTCTATTTTAGATTATTTCACTCCCCACCTGAAAACTGGGACTTCCAGAAGTTAAGCAACTTCACACTTCAGAGGTAGCAATGGTGTGGACATAAAATGCTTAATTTTGACTAGTTTGGACCTATAATGTCTATACCATTACCATCCTGAAGCATGAAGTTCATTAACCTCCCAAAGAAATTAAACATCCCAGATGCCATCCACCTGCAACCTTTTTCAACAAGTTGTATCAGCTCTTAACATTTTAACAGCTTTGCATATCCATGTAACAGGAATACGACATTGCCCCTGAACAGTCTTTTAACCAGTCTTCTCATTTCTCACATAATGCTCTTTTCAGGACGACTACTGTACGTCTTTGTGTGTGCAGTAGTTTCCATCTCTACTACCCATTTCAAAACATACATACTGAAATTCAATGCATGTTTCATTCATGGAGATGAAACAAAACATTGCTTTTGAAAGCATGCCTCCCACCTACTGGAACGCTGTAAATCTGTAGACTTCCTTCCTCCAGAGAATTCCAGAGTGCACAGAAAGCATTTAAATGGTTATGGATAATGTAGTAGACTGCTCAGCTAGTCAAAGTATCCTGCCATGTCTTATGCTAAAGCTACTCCATTTTCCCAGCAGGAAATATTCAGGAAATGCTCCATTTAACAAAGAGCACAATAATGATTAACAAGGCAGCAAGATCCCCATGAGATATTACACCTCCAGATGTCCATATAAAAAAGAAAAAACCATCATGAAATTAACACAAATAGAGAATAATAAAAGGGAAGCAAAAAAGATAAAGGAAATGTACTTTTTCTACTGGCAAAGTGCTTCTAAAGGGTCACACACTTTTGCACAGAAAAGAAAATGCAGTCTAGATGTCTGCTATGCTTTATCTTTGCATATATATAAGTTTTCTAAAATCAGCATCTACTATCAGCATGGACAACTGCAAAGACTGCTAGCATACTTACAAAACACTAATCTTAGATTAATCATCTATTATTAGTATCAAACTACTTTCCTGTATTTTTTAAGCTTGTCTCATGGTTAACCTTCTGTTGACAGTAAATAAATATGCATGTATACTTCTTTAATACAAGACTTATATTTGCATTACAAAACTGATCAAAAGAAGTCCTTTTTTGTGGTGGCCCCCAAGCTCTAAAATAGTTAGCCAGTATGATGCAACTGCCCAGAGACTGGCTCCTTTAAATAAATTGTTAAGGCCTTTCTCTTCAGACAAGCTTTTAATAATTCGGGTATTGTTTAAATGCTGAATGTCAGTTTTTAATCTACAACTGCTGTTCCTGAAACTTTATTGCCATTTTATTTTTTCTTTAAATGCAACCCCCTTTTGGAGCAATTGTTTAAAAGTAGGCTATAATTTCACCAAATAATAAAAATGCACTGCCAATGTGAACATTTATAATACAATGAAAGCATGGGCTAGGAAAGATTTTCACTAGAGTAAAAGTGGTTAAGAACAGAACAAACATTTTGTTAGAATCATTCCTGCCATGCTGAAATACATTCACAGCACCTGCTTGCAGAGGGGCAGCGCTTAAGTTGTATTCTTTGAATTCTCTATATAAAAATATGCGCCAGAAATTAGAATAAACCAGCCACACGAAAGCAAACTGCAAAGCTAATGGGAAAGAAACCGCTGGTCTGACACAATGATCCCTGACTAAGATAAGGGGAAAGACAGAACATGAAGGCACAACTATGAATGCTAATACCACATATACTTTCTCGTTACTAATCTGCAGTACTGTCAGATGCTACTATTGGAAACATTTCTTTAAACAGA